TGTGTATTTGATCTTCACCCTCATCTCCAGGCACAGTGCTCTTAGAATCCTTGTGGTTTCCTGAGCTGCAAGCAGGCTAGGTGCATCTTCTGTTTTCATATTTGGTCTTTGAATCCTGTTTCTCATACAAAACTTTCTTTTTAAGTTTTTATCTCATTTATTTGAAAGGCAGAGTTACACTGAGGGAGACAGAAAGAGAAAGATCTTTCATCCACTGGTTTACTCCTCCAATGGCCATCAATCGCCAGGGCTAGGCCAGGCTAAAGCCAGGAGCCTGGAACACCATCAAGGTCTCCCATGTGGGTGCAGGAGTCCATGTACTTGTGCCATCTGCTGCTGCTGTCCCAGGTCCATTAGCAAGGAGCTGGATTGTTAGTAGAGTGGCCAGGATTCAAACCAGTGTTCATGTGTGGCAGCTTAACCTGCTGTGCCACAATGCTAGCCCCACAAAATTCTTCATCCTTCAAAATTTCCTAGGTGCTAGGAGTATCTTTGTTCTAATGAGATGAAGCCTGGCTTGTTCCTGGATAGTAGCTTGGAACTTTTTTTTTTTTTTTTTTTAACAGGCAGAGTGGACAGTGGGAGAGAGAGACAGAGAGAAAGGTCTTCCTTTTGCTGTTGGTTCACCCTCCAATGGCCGCTGCGGCTGGCGCGCTGCACCGCGCTGATCCAATGGCAGGAGCCAGGTGCTTCTCCTGGTCTCCCATGGGGTGCAGGGCCCAAGCACTTGGGCCATCCTCCACTGCACTCCCTGGTCACAGCAGAGAGCTGGCCTGGAAGAGGGGCAACCGGGACAGAATCCGGCGCCCCGACCGGGACTAGAACCCGGTGTGCCGGCGCCGCAAGGCGGAGGATTAGCCTAGTGAGCTGCGGCGCCGGCCGTAGCTTGGAACTTTCAATTTGGTCCCCAGTCTCCAAGAAGCACAGAGGCTCTGGAGATGGAGCCAATGACTGACCCCATCTATGGGGAAGGCTCCACAAAGGCTCTCACTGCTGGTACCCATGGAGCTGGCTGCTTTGCTTCCAATGCAGCTCCCTGCTAACGCGCCTGGGAACGTGGAAGATGGCCCCAGTGCCTGGGAGATGTGAATGGAGTTTCCGGCTTCTTGCTTTGGCCTGGGCAGCCCCAGCCTTCTTGGTCATTTGCAGAGTGAACTAGTAAACTAGACCTCTTTCTCTCTCCATCTCTCCCTCTCTACCTTTCAAATAAATAAAATAAATCTTAAAGAAATTAAATAAAAAATCCCAGAAACACGGTTCACAGTTCCCAGGGTACTGAAGCAGGGGGATGCTGAAAAAGGAAGCCCCACCCCCTTCTCACATGTTTTGCCCTGTGCATTTCTTCCATCTGGTTGTTCATCTTTATAACATTTTCTACCTTTTGTACCATCCTTTATAGGAAAAATATGTTTCCCTGAGTTCTGTGAGGTGTTATAGCAATTGACTGAGGGAGGCTGAGGAGAACCTCTGGATTTACAAGCAATTGGTCAAAAGCACAGGTAACAACCTGACACTTGCTACTGGCAGCTGCCGTAGACGGCCGTGCTGGGGCTGAGATAACTCAGGCGCCTGGTATCAGGGCTGCGTTAACTGCAGGACATCCTACATAAGCTGATGTCTGCAGAAAACTATTTGGTGAGAGCAAACACTACCACACACCCGGTCCCAGAAGTGTGTTGTACTGAGGGCACAGAAGGAAACTGCCCAACAGACAGATCCTCTTCCTCTCCACTGAAGACTAAGCTTCATGCTTCAACAGGATTCTGCTGAGAATGGCTCTCTATATGGAAGGATCCAGATACTAGTATTTTGTTTGATTTCCTAGTCTGGCCTATTCATTTATCATACATTTTGTATGTTCCAGTATCCCTAAAAATCTCTAGTCCTCTAACAATGTCTTGTCCTCTTTTATTAATTGCCTTTTTATTAGTCCTTACTGTCATTTCAATGAAATTTTTAAAAAGAGACAAAATGGAGGAATCTGGAACACATCATGCTGAGTGAAATAAGCCAGTCCCAAAGGGACAAATACCGTATGTTCTCCCTGATCGGTGACAACTGACTGAACACCAAAAAGGAAACCTGTTGAAGTGAAATGGACAATATGGGAAACGGTGACTTGATCAGCATAGCCCTAACTGTTAATGAACAACTTAATACATTATCCCTCTTAGTAGTTTTTTGTCTGTTCTACTTAATATGACTGGTTTAATTCTGTAATTAATACACAGTTATTCTTAAGTGTTGAAAATTAACTGAAATGTGATCCCTGTTAAACATAAGAGTGGGAATAAGAGAGGGAAGAGATGTATAATTTGGGACATGCTCAAGCTGACTTGCCCCAAATGGTAGAGTTAGAAACATACCAGGGGATTCCAATTCAATCCCATCAAGGTGGCATGTACCAATGCCATCTCACTATTCCAAGTGATCAATTTCAGTTCACAATTGATCATAATGAAAGGACTAAGAGTCAAAGGGAGCACATAAACAAGTCTAGTACCTGCTAACACTAACCGATAGAATAAATAAAGGGGAGAGTGATCCAACATGGGAAGTGAGATACTCAGCAGACTCATAGAATGGCAGATGTCCTAAATAGCACTCTGGCCTCAGAATCAGCCCTAAAGGCATTCGGATCTGGCTGAAAAGCCCATGAGAGTATTTCAGGCATGGAAAGCCAAGACACTCTGGCAAAAGATCTCTGTGAGTGAGATCCCAGTGGAAAGAACAGGTCTTCAAAGAAGGAGGTACCTTTCTCTGAAGGGAGGAGAGAACCTCCACTTTGACTATGACCTTGTCTAAACAAGAGAAGAGTCGGAGAACTCAGAGGGCTTCCATAGTCTTGGAAACTCATGACTGGAGCATAGGGAGATTACTGATGCCATAGACAGGAGTGTCAATTGGTAAAGTCAACAACAGGAGTCACTGTGCACTTACTCCTCATGTAGGATCTCTGTCCTTAATGTGCTGTGCATTGAGATTTAATGCTATAACAAGTACTCAAACAATATATTTCACTTTGTGTTTCTATGGGGGTGCAAACTGTTGAAATCTTTACTTAATGCATACTAAACTGATCCTCTGTAAAAAAAAAAAAAAAAAGAAAGAAATTATCAACTCCCAACTTGACTCTCACTGGGATTAAACATGACAATAGGTCTGATCTGATTTCATCATCATTTAAAAAAAAATCATCTATCATTTTTCACTTTATGTTTCTGTGTGGGAGCAAACTGTTGAAATCCTTACTTAATGTATACTAAGCTGATCTTCTGTATATTAAGATAATCGAAAATGAATCTTGATGTGAATGGAAGGGGAGAGGGAGTGGGAAAGGGGAGGGTTGTGGGTGGGAGGGACGGTATGGGGGGGAAGCCATTGTAATCCATAAATCGTACTTTGGAAATTTATATTCATTGAATAAAAGTTTAAAAAAAAAAGAGAAACTATGTAAAGGCTAGTGTTTAGTATGCTATTTTGGACTATAAATCTAAATCTTAATAATAATAAAAAAAAAAACCTCCTCACTTTTGGTACTTGATTTCATAGTAGGTTAAGAAAAGGGCTACCTGATTCAGATACAAGGAAGAATGACATACAATGTCACTGAAATGGTTGAATGCTGTATACCTGTTCACTAATTATTCCTAACATCTCTCAATGTTCATGATGTACAGTTTTTCTGAGCGTTAAATGTGAAGAGTTAGGCTCAGAGTATAATGGACGAGAACAAATCATTTACTTAATCTAACCCTAGCTGGGATAATTAAGATAAACCTAACCAACTGCCCAGTTGTTCTTTATTTATCATTTTACATTTCTGTAGAATCTCAAACGTCTACTGCTTTTTTAAGTGGAAATTATAAGCTTTAGTGTTAGTTTAATTTAAGGATTCTTTTTGACTCTTTCATAAATATGAAGAGGATAGCTTACCTTAATCATCTAGATTGGAATGACAAATCTGAAAGGCTATCTCTAACAATTCCAATTTTTTATAGTTTATATCCAGAAACATACAATTACTAAGCTTAGCAGAGCCTGGAAAGAGGAAGAATACTGTGAGGAACACTGGGACTTAAAAATGCATTTTCTAGTTTCTACAGGCAAGAAAAAACTAATTTAAAATCTCCTGGGGATGGACTGGCTTGCTGTCAGTTGTTCTGTAACACAGGCTGCTTTAAAGACAGTGGATTCTATTCGCAGTTAATCCTATGTAATTTTACCTTATAGTCCCCTTTTTATAGGGCATAACTGGAAAAATATTGCCTAGTAATTTCCTATCTTAATAGAGTAAAATAATTTTAATTTCATTCTATGTAACATGAGAAAATGAAAAAGTAGGGAAAAAAGAGTAGGAGAAGAAACATCAGTTGTGTAAAATTTTGGAAATGAATTTTTAAATTAATGTCAAAAGCAAGCATATATATTTAAAAAGTAGTGATGCACAGAGGTGGAATATTTATGAAGTTAACTGACAATATTTGTTATACTTGAGAATTATAGATCATTAATAATAATTCCACAGATTTCTTCACCTTAAATGTTACTTATGGGGTACATTATTCCAATGGTGAAAGTAATAATAAACAACATTATGTAGATAAGAGGAAAAATACTAAGCACTCTGAAAACTCAATATTTGATAATAACTCAGACTGGATTTTTCTCAAGGGTAAAGGACAAATCTCACCTGACATATATTAGACAACAAATAAGCTCAAACCTTGAAATTCTGATTCATTTTTAAGTGTTACTAAGCCTTGAGAATGTTTCAAATTTGGCATATAGTTTTAAATGTCAAATCTGACAATACAATTTGGACTAATTAGAGAACATACTTTGGCACCAAATATTTATGTCTTTTCCATTACTGTCTGAAATGGGTACTTCCACTTGCATGGCCTCTGAGTAAGAAGTGATAAATACATTAATTTTCATCAACTGGTCTTTCCAAAAGATACAAAGAAACAGTAAAAAGATATTATCAGTTGACTCACCACTGTCCTCTGTTTGTTGGGCAGGAAGACTCTAACAATAGGTTTTTGTGGTGACTTGGGGTTGCTCCGTGACACATCTGTGGGATTTTGAAAAACTGAAAGAGATGAAGGTAGCACTGAAAGGCTAGAAGAGGAAGAAGACGTAACGGTGTCCGTTGACGCAGAGCTAGAAACAGAAAAATCAGTTCCATTCCCCAGGGATTCCAATAACTGCTGTTCTCTTTGTTGGAGGGCATCTAGCTTGCTGGTGTATTCTTCGTAGGCCTATAAAATAAAGTAGACTTACATTGAATCTGGACTTGTCCTGATATTAACAGAAGGAAACACGAAATTTCAGTCTTCATCATAATTTGTTTATAATCTTCCTAACTGGATTTTTAAGTTATAAATTACAAAGTAAGTGCTGGAAATACTTTACCCTTAAGTAGATCAACTCCTATACAACACTATACAAGCATTATATTGGGCAATCTGATAATATTCATATATATATATACACACACAAAAGATATCTAGATAGTCCACAAATATCAATAAAAAAGCTTAGTATTTTCCAATTAACTGGTTAAATTGTGACTTACTTCCTAAACCACATGTCTAGAATAAGAAAATAACACAATACCTCAATAAGATATTCCTCCCCACTAAATTTTTTCCCAGAGAAGTTATAGGTATATTGATTTTCATACTACTACTACCACCACCACTGCACACACACCCCCTATCTCTTTCCAAGAAAGGAAAAGGCTGAAAATAAGATGAAGTGTTACTGAAGAGTTGTTAACAAAACAAAACCAGCAATACACAGTGCCAGATCTCACCATCAGCACCAAAATCTAAATGGGACTTAGATTTCACTGCCACCTTTTTTTAAAAACAGCTATCAACTAGGGAAAAAAACCCGTTATTCTTCTCATTACAGATCTCTGGTGGGCTCCTCTACCATCAGATACTGCTTAGAACATAAGAACTATATTTGAGAATGTGACTGACATGATGCAGTAGAGAAATTCTAGGGCCACCATCCATCAGGGTGTCATCCTAGAAGTTTCATGTGAGTGAGGTTTCCAGTAGGTGATGACCACATGACATACTGAATCCTAAAACAGAGTAATATGAACAGTACAGAAAAGGAATGAACGGATGCCATGGGTGCGGGTGCACGGGTCTTTCAGGCAGTGATAACCCCTTCACTCACACGGTCCACCACTTCCCAAACACAGGCAATACTACAAATATTGAGAAGCTGCTGCGGCAACGCAGCAGGTAAAGCCGCCGCCTGGAATCCCAGCATCCCCTATCAGTGCTGGTTTGAGTCCTGGCTGCTATACTTCAGATCCAACTCTCTGCTAATGCGCCTGGGAAAGCGGCTGGAAGATGGCCCAAGTGCTTGAGCCCCTGCACCCACAAGGGAGACCAGTAAGAAGCTCCTGGCTCCTAGCTTCAGACTGGCCCAGGTCCTAGGGGAGTGAATCAGCAGGTGGAAGACCGACCTCTCTCTTTCATCTGTGAGGCAGAGAGTATGTTCCCATCCACTGGTTTACTTCCCAAAGGCCCATGATGGCCGGAGCTGGGCCAAGGATGAACCTCGGAGTCAGAAACTCAATCCAGGTCTCAGTTTGGGTTGCAGGTACCTCAGTCATTTGAGCCATCACTGCTGCCTCCTAGAGTTTATGTATTAGTAGCCACGGGAGTCAGGAGATGAGGTGGGTATCAAACCCAGTCACTCTGATAATGAGACACAGGCATCTCTCAACTCGATGTCTCTCAACCACCAGGCCAAGTGCCTGCCCCAAATAATATTTACTGTCACCTAGGCAAATACATTTGCAACACAAAATTAACCTTATGCAAAGTGGCAAAAATAATGAATTTTTCAAATGTTATTTCCTTATCAAAAAGTTAGCCTTTAAGTTTTGAAAATACATCACTGCCTCCATTATGGATTATAAGCTGTCATTTTACTACGTTAATTGTTATCAAAAAGTGTTAGCCTTAAATTTTAAAAATATTCTGATAACTCTGGGTCATAAGTTGTAATTTCACTGCTTTCACCAGCAGTCCTTCCTTCTGTGAAGTAGAAAACATCGACTTATTCCACTTTCGCCAGCATCACGGCTGTAGTTTCCACTAAGGCACTTGTCTCCTTTCACTTCATTAGCCTTGCTGTATTCAGTGTATAAACTCCGATTGTTAACACTGGTGCCTCTGAGTTCTTTAAACCTCTGATTTTAAGAAATTTATTTTCATTCTCTCTTCGAGACTGAGAGAGGTGGGCGTTAATGTGCAGTGATTAAGTCACCACCTGTGACGCTGGTTTCCCACATGAGCCCTGTTTTGAGCCCCTGCTAATGCTCTGGGAAAGCAGCAGATGATTTCAGGGCTTGGCCCCTGACACACACGTGGAAACCCAGGTGAAGCTCTTGCTTGGGCCTGGCCCACCCCCTGTACCATTTGGGATACGAACCAGAGGATGGACGATCTTCCTCTCTGACTCTGCCATTCATTTATACACCCAGAGAGGGTTATACCACAATCTTTCTAAAAGATACTAAAACCATGACAAGACCCCAACTTGGAACTTCCCCTCTTATCTGGGCACACACTTCTCACACCTTTTATTTTAAAGATTTTATTTATTTACTAATCCTCCACCTTGCGGCGCCGGCACACCGGGTTCTAGTCCCGGTCGGGGCGCCGGATTCTGTCCCGGTTGCCCCTCTTCCAGGCCAGCTCTCTGCTATGGCCAGGGAGTGCAGTGGAGGATGGCCCAGGTGCTTGGGCCCTGCACCCCATGGGAGACCAGGAAAAGCACCTGGCTCCTGGCTCCTGCCACCGGATCAGCGCGGTGCGCCGGCTGCAGCGGCGGCCATTGGAGGGTGAACCAACGGCAAAGGAAGACCTTTCTCTCTCTGTCTCTCTCTCACTATCCACTCTGCCTGTCAAAAAAAAAAAAAAAAAAAAAAAAAAGATTTTATTTATTTATTTGAGAGGCAGAGTTACAGGCAGTGAGAGGGAGAGACAGAGAGAAAGCTTTTCCTTCTGTTGGTTCATTCCCCAAATGGCCGCACTGGCCAGAGCTGCACCGATCCAAAGCCAGAAGCCAGGAGCTTCTTCCGGGTCTCCCACGCGAGTGTAGGGGCCCAAGGACTTGGGCCATCTTCCACTGCTTTCCCAGGCCACAGCAGAGAGCTGGACTGGAAGAGGAGCAGCCAGGACTAGAACCGGCGCCCACATGTGATGCCGGCGCCACAGGCAGAGAATTAACCTACTGCACCATGGCGCTGACCCCAACTTTCACACCTTAAGGTTCCATATTACTGCCATGGGTCGACAGTAATCCCTCATACAGTCTCAGCTTTGAGCAATTGTTCTCTTCCTCCCCATATTGTGTGGCTCTCCATTTAAAAAACGTCACTGGTAACAGATTCTTTGGTTAATTCCTATTCTTTTATCAAGTAGCTTTCCAAAAACCAATTTTGGGTAAGTCTTACCATTCAAATATTCCATTTGTTCTCTCAGGTTACCAAAAACTGCTGGAGAAAGTAAAGCTAGTAAATCTGATCCAATATCAATTCATGTAACTTACAGACTCACCTGGTAGTTCACACTACTGCCCGAAAATTTTTAGTTATTTCAACTACACATCACATTTTTCACAATTCTAGTGTTTTCTTTTTTAAAGATTTCTTTGACAGGCAGAGCTACAGAGAGAGAGGAGAAAGACATAGAGGAACAAAATCTTGCATCTGCTGGTTCACTCCCCAAATGGCTGTAACAACCAGGACTTGACCAGGCTGAAGCCAGGAGCTTCCTTCAGGTCTCCCAAACGGGGTGCGGAGACCCAGGGACGTGGGCCATTCTCTCCTGCTGTCCCAGGCACATCAGCAGGGAGCTCAAACGAAAGTGCAGCAGTGGGGACACAGACCGGCACCCATATGGGATGCCTGTGATGTAGGCCCTGCACTACAGCCCTGGCCCCAAATCCAGTGTTTTCTATGCTTCTCTGGACCCCACAACCTTTAACTCACTATGAGGATAATATTATCTTCAAATTTACCCTGAAGATCAAAATCATCAAATTAAAGTGTTCTCTGGGGGTCAGCATTGTTGTGGCATAGTGAGTTTAGCATCTGCCTGCAATGCCAAGCACTTGGGCCAGGTTACACTGCTTTCCCAGGCAGCTGGAGGGAAGTAGAGCAGCTGAGACTGGAACCCGTACCCATATGGGATTCAGAGGTTGCAGGCAATGGCTTAACCTACACCACCTGTTCTATGTATTTTTGACAAGCAAATATTTTTACAAGCAAATAATGCTTGTAAACTAAAAGTGACATACAGAAGAATGAAACTGGACAACTACCTGGCACCATATTAAAAAATTAATTAAAAGGCAAGAGTTCAGCCAAGAGATTACACCCATGGCCCACATGAGTTTGATACCCAGCTTGGCTCCTGACTCCAACTTCTAGCTAATGCAGTTACAAGGAAGTAACAATTACGTCTTAAGTAACTGGATTCCTGCTACCCCTGTGGGAGACCTGGAGTGAGTACCTAGCTCTCTGCTTCAGCCTGGCCCAGCCCAAGTTGTTGTGAGCATCTGGGAAGTCAACCAATGGATGGGGAGCGCTATCTACGTTTCTACCAAGTAAATAATTAAAATTTTTAAAATTAACTCAAAATGGATCATATACCTAAAAGTAGGAGCTAAAACTATAGAATTCTTAGAAAAAGATTAAGGAAAAGTATCATTCTGATGTTGAATTAGGCAATGGTTGCCCAAATATGACACATCAAAAGCACAGCCACCAAAGAAAAAACTCAGACTTCCATCAGAATTAAAGCTTTGGTACTCCAACGGAGTGAAAAAAAAATTCCACAGAATGGGATAAAATACTTGTAAATCATGCCTGGTAAGGGTATATTATCTGGAATATATAAAGAACTCTTGGGGCTGGTGCTGTGGCATACTAGGCCAAGCCTCTTCCTGTAGCTTTCCCATCTCATATGGGCGCCAGCCTGAGTCCCAGCTGCTCCCACTTCCAATCCAGCTCTCGGCTATGGCTTGGGATAAAGTATCAGAGGATGCCCCAAATGCTTGGGCCCCTGCACCTATGTAGGAGACCCAGAAGAATCTCTTGGCTCCTGGCTTCAGATCGGCTCAGCTCCGGCAATTGCAGCAATTTTGGGAGTGAACGAGTGGATGGAAGACCTTTCTCTCTGTCTCTTCCTCTATCTTTCTGTAACTTTACCTCTGAAATAAA